CATGTCCTTCAAGGAAGGCGGGCCTTAGCCTGAGAAGGTGAATCACAATCGGTCTCATATCTCTTGCCAAGACTAATTTAGACTCAGGCATGTGGCCTACTTGTGGCCCATGAGAAATGAAGGAAATTCTATTGAGGGGCTCCTTTTTGCTAAGGAATATGAGGGAAGAAACAGGTCCTCTTTGGCACTGGATATCATCTACTTGTAATAGCTGGAACTGCTGCAGCTGTTTGGGGACCATGAGGAGCATTACCCTAAGACAAGCCAGAATAGAAGACAAAAGGAACCTGGTCCTTAAAAACCATAGTGAAGTGCTGGATCAGTCAACTTTGGAACAGTCAACACTACTGCTGGGTGTCTTGAAATGTGACATAATACAGTTACTATTATTTACACCACATTCAGTTGGATTTTTCCGGTACCTGCTGCCTAAAGCATCTTCACTACTATAAACAGTATCAGTCCCCAACCTCCTCACTCTCAAAAGCCTCACTCCCAGACCTTCCTTTATAGCAGATATGTATTTGGATTTAGCAGCTCACCTCTCTAACTGCAAATATTCAGAAGTTATGTCTAGTAGTCACTCTCCCTTTAGTATGAATTACCCTAGTAGGATTCTCTTCCTCAAAGACTGCGCTGGGAGTCACAGAGTTGGAGAAGAGAGAGGGAAAGCAGTGGGCAGTGGGAGGGAGGCACAAGGACACAAAGTACCTGGAGTGGTCATAAAAGGAACTGCCAGAAAGCCACGCTTTTCCTCACCATGTCTCCAAGTTTCTGGTGGCAAATATGGCCCTCTCGCCCCCTAGAAGTCACTCTTCTGCTAACAGAACCTCTCTGGGGTTTTCATTCCTAAACCCAAGATACTATTCTAAGTCAGGACTCAGGAACAAAATTGTAAGACTCTTTTCAAATATAAAAATGAAATGAGATTTCCAGTCAGGTTCTTAATTTACACAGAAGGGTGAGCTGGGGAGGATGTTTTCCACTGGAGACCAAGCCTGGTGAGAAGGCAGCACCATCATCGGTCCTGCTGTTCATGCTGATGGAGTGCAGAGGTGGGGACCTCAGGCCTTGTGTCCCACTTCTCTTCTGAAGGCTGTGAGTCCGGGTCTCCAATCGGCCTTGGGCACCCAGCCTCGGCTACTGTGCATGGGCCACTCTGTACTCCGCACACAGCTGCCGGACCATACTTCCCAAGGAAACCATCTGATGTTTATCTCCAGGAGGGACATGCCAAACCATTATTAGCGCTATCATTGCTATTGACCTCATGGCCACCATTACTTAGGGAATGAGGCTCTGAGCAGAGAAACAGTGTCACAGCTGTCCTCCCAGCCCAAGTGGGTCTCGATGGCACCACTGGGCAGAGGCAGGTTCCTGCCTGACACAGGAGTGGCTGCTGGGTCTCGGGACACCCAGGCATGCTCTGAGACTCCTCGTTCACTCCCAGCTATGGCTGTTGTGTAGCCACTGGCAGGTGCTCCAGAAAACTCTGGTTTCCAGATAGAAGCCCGGTGTCACTCAGGAACCCTGCTCCCAAGCCCTGGTCAGCTCCCTTTTCCATCACACATTCTAAACCTTCACCCCCACCCCGGGCCTCCAATGCCACCTCCTACCCCCTCATTCTCAACAGATGGTCTTGCCTCCTACTGCAGTGAAAAAAATAGGGCTATCAGGCTGGTACGACTCAGCTGCCCACCTTCCTTCCACCATCCCCCCCTGCCCCACACACTCATCTGTGTGCAGCTTCACCACCTTCCTCCAGGCTCTGAACACAGGCTGACCGAGGCTACTGCTTCCACCTGTGTCCTTCAAGCCCAATCCCTGGAGTCTCCCCTAGGACCACATCTGTCAGTTACTTCTTTCTACTGGATCTCCAGCCGCACCCCTCCCCCGTTTAATGGCCACCCTCCCCATCAGCGACAGCCTGCTCCAGTCCCCACCTCTAATCTTGTGCACTTTGGTCTAAGCACTATATGACCTTCCCCACTGTCACGGCCACACCTGAGAAAAGTAATCTACGTCAACCATCTCCACCCCCTGGAGCTTCAATTTTCTCCCACCCCCTCACTCCATTCTCCTTGCTCACCCCAAGGACTCTCAATCACCAAATCCGAGAGGTTCCAGAGCTTTACTAATTTTATCTTTCATTTGACAACACTGAGTAATTCCGGCAGACTTTATTTTCCAAAATGGGTACAACAGTATCTCCCATTCTGATGCTCTTCTAGAACCTGGTCACGCCCCTGTCAAGAAGTAGAGTATCCACCCATCCTTTAAACTAAGGGAGCCTTTGTGACTCTTGTTCTTACTAACAGAGTAAAGAAGAGGTAGTGCTCTATGCCTGGCAAGGCTAGGTCATAAAATGCTCATGTGCTCTAAGCCTTATTCTCATGGGACACTCACTCTTTGGACCCAGCCACCATGCTGTGAGGAAGCCCAAGCAGCTGTGGAGAGGCCTACCTGGAAAGACCCACAGCCCTGTCCACAGCCACAGCGGAGCCACCAGCCATGTGAGTGAGCCACCTAGAGAGAGATCCTCCAGTTCAGGCAGACCAGCCAGCTGGTACCACATGAAACAGGTGAGTCTCTCTACCAAGCCCTGCCAGGACTGCAGATTCATGAGCAAAACACACAACTGTTATTTTATGCTGCTACATTTTCTATTTCTCTTCTTGAAATTGTTTCCATGGGATGTAGCAGCACTGCCCAGTCCTGGTTCTCCTCCAATCTCTCTGGCTGTGCCTTCTCCATTCCTCTGAGAGCTTAACTTCCTGGGCATACTCCCCTGATGACAGTAGTCCTCACAGCTCTCCCCTTGTCTTCTTTTCTCTTTGCTCCACCCTCCTAAGTGACCTCAATTACTCTGCCGAATTCACCTACCTGCTGTGAATCTCCTTGCTGGTAAATCCTGTATCTGTATTTCCGGGCTAAATGCAGACCAGCAGAGCAATCCCAATCCAGAACTCCTGACTGCAGTATCTTCATTCTCGTGGTAGCTCCACCACCCATTCCACCCAGCTCTGAGATCATCCCAACCCCACTGCTTTCATGAGAAACTGCATTTCCCATTTAGGCTTGGCCAACGGGCAACACTGGTGGAATTCTGGGGACAGAAGGAGGTAGAATTCTGCTGCCTCAAACAACATCTAGGGCTCTACCTCCCAGGTGATGGGCCCTATGGCTATGATCCACCTCCCAAAGGACCAGCCCACCATGGGCCAGCTCTGGAGGGTGACCTCAGCTCCCAGGCCCTTTTCCTGAGAACCAGCTCTTTTCCTTGTCCCTCCACCTTGAAAGTGGCAACAGCTTCCTACAGTTGGTAATTGCCTCACCATCCCCTGTGGTTTCTCTGCTATTCCATCCCCCTGGAAGTCTCATTTTCTGTTTTAAGTTCCCTCTGCTGGAAATATCTACAGCAATTTTTTTTTCTTCCCAACTGGACCCTGACTGATACACTGGTTAATGGCACCCAATCTTAATCATTTAAGTGAGAAACACACAATTTGTTTTATTCCCCTCCCATTCACTCATACCCTTATTTGCCCCCACCCCATGTAAAGCTGGTCACAAAGTCCTATGACCCTGCCCCTTGAGCCCACCCCTCCCCTTCACTCCCACTACACTGCCTTGGTAGCACATCATTATTTTTGGCTCAGACCAGTGTGGCAGCCCCTCCATTAGGCTCCCTGGCTACAGTCTTTCTGTCTTCCAGTTCAACCTCTAGACTGCCAACAGACTTTCGTTTCTAATGTACATCTGATCATGACATTCTCGGATTTAAAATTCTTAAATGGTTCCCCACTGACTACAGGAAAGAATCAGATCCCCTCAGTTCCACAGTAGATCCATATTTGCTGTGTATACCTTTCTATGCCCTAGCCTGCAAGATCAGGCCCTCCACGATATCCTGTCTACCTTCCCAGCCCCATCTGCAACCGTTCCCAGCCATACCACCTGAACCAGCTCGTTCTTCTCCAAGCCCACTCTTCCTCTAAGCCTCAGGCATTTGCACAGGCTGGGCTATTCCTCCCCAGCCCGGCTGTCTTACCAGCTCCTCAGTGAAGCCCTGTCCCCAGCCCTGGCTACCTCCAACATACTAAGCACAGTGCTGAGGGCACCATACCCAAAACAGCACTTTGGGCAGAACTCACAGTTCCACACTGTGGATGTTTGTGTCCAGACCTGCCCTTCCACTAAACAGGGAACTCCCCCAGTGATGAAGATGGAGTTTCCTCACTCCTGCATTCCTGGGACCCACCTAGCACCTAGTGCAAAAGATACCTTCCATGCGTATGCAAAGCTTAGTCAGGGTGAGCTGAGGAAACAAACTATCAGTCCAGAATAAGGAAAGAGAACAGAGGAAGGGAGCCTGCAGAGAAGGGGAGAGACACACTGGCAGGTGAAATGCCTGACCTCCTGGGCCAGGTGATGGGTACTACCCAGCCAGGGCCCAGCTCACCCTCCCTTGCTCTGAGGACAGAGCTAGAAAAGTCCATAGACACAGTCTCCACCAGGTCTTTTCCCAGGAACACTTTAGGTAGACAAGCTTGTTCACTCAAAACAGGAGATAAGCAAACATGTAATCTGTGTAAATATTTCTATGTGAGCTTCCTGTCATTTTTACATCCCTTGGTTGACCACATGGCTGCCTTTTGTTATAATTTAACAAATTAAAATGTAACTTTTCTACCCTCTTTGGTTCATCTCATTTCTTCAACATCCACCTGAGGTCTCCTTGGCCCAGCAGCTGTCCATCATGTTCTGAGACCATCCCCAGACAGCTCCTAGGAACACATCGAGAACAACTGACCAACCCAGCCATAGGTCCCCTGGTCACAGCACTGTCCTGATGCTTCCTCTGTCATGGTCTCAAGCTTTCCCCTCCCATCCTGCTGCTCAAAGGGTCACACTCCACTCAGCTGCCTTGAACCAGTGTCACTGGAGCCACCTAGTTTCCAGAGAAATATAGAATGAAGATGAAAGAGGAAGTCCCTCACCTCCATCAGGAGAATGTCCTTCGAGCTCTGAGCCTGCACCTTTGGGTGCTGGACCTTCACAGCCACTGTCCGCCCGTCATGTAGCACCGCCTTGTGAACCTGGGCCAGGGAGGCGGCCCCCAGAGGGGTGTCATCAAAGCTCATGAACAAATCATGAATCTGTCAAGAGTGGAGAAAAGATGAAGCAATTAAGATGACTCAGTTCGGTGAGAGGGGATATGGGGCCAGTACCGCCTGATGTCTCCCGATAGATTTTCTGCTCTACCAGTTGTATGCCAACCCAGTGCCTTGCCTGGGCTCTTTGCTGCCATGGAGATCCACAGCAGCATACGGAGGGAGTGAGAGAGAAAACACACATGGAGGGTGCGTCCTCATACACATGCATGGGCGCCCTGAGCACCTCCATTCAAGGCCAAAGAAGTGCTGTCTAGAATGTTCAGAACTGAGTACCATCTGCTCGTTTAATTATGTACCAGTGCACCCCTGAGGCTGTTACAAATATACATAAAATCAAGAGTTAACAGAACCTGGGCCCCAGGCAGCCCAATACAGAGATCAGATACTCAAATCCACCAACATAGGAGAGCTCAAAGGACCCTAGGCTGGTGGCTCCAAACCCAACAGCCATCTCTTGTTCCTGCCTGAGCAGCAGGCTCAACATGGGTCCCCAAGCCCACCCTCGGCCTGGCCACTTGGGCTGCATGCCCCTGCCTCACTTTTAATCCCCACCTGCAATGTCACCCAAAGGGAGTCTTGGGCAGATCCCTTGCCCTTTCTCTACGAAATGGAATATGTGCTCCTTACTCTCTGTCTTCTCTTCCCTTCTTCCTTCCTTCCCTCTTAGAAATGCCACACCAAATTTTCCTGAAGGAAGAAAAGTCTGACTTGAGTGTCCACACCCACATGGTCCAGATATGAATATTCTACAGATGGGAAGGAGACCCCCAAAAGCCTTTTTACAAAAATATCCAAGGCTAAAATTCTCACCCCCTCCATTTCTTGAAGTCCCCATATAGCCTCCCAATCCTAGAAGGTCCATTCTCACACACACACACACACACACACACACACACACAAATATGTACATGCATGATTAGTCCCATGGCCACCCTCCTCATGTCCTCCTCATGCTGAGGCCTTCGGTCCTCGCCCCTGCCTCCCCCGGCACCCTCTTCTGCAGCAGGCATTCTGTCCTGCCCCTTGGCCCCCTCCTCTCCTTGGACGTCAGCAGTCAGATGACCTTCGGCCACTAGCCCACCCCTCCGCTTGCTAGGCAGCACCAGCACCTTGCTAATCTCCCTCATAAATCACTCCCTCCGGCCCTGTCATCATTTTTGTAGCTTTCACTAAACTCCATCCCATTTATCAACATCCTTCAGAGGCCAAAGGTCCAGGCAACATGGGAGGGGCCCACTTCTCTGTCATGAAAGATGGGTACAGATTGGCTTCCTCGTCCCCCTTCTTCTTCACTGGGTTTTTATTTCTGCCCCTCCCAGTGCTTACTTCCCCACCTCCTTCCCCAATCACATACTTGTGGATTCCCCTCCCTCCTGACTTCGAGGTCCCCTGAGGGCCAGATTCTCCACATGTCAATCACCTGGGTCTCTCCATATAAAAACCCCTTATTCTGGACTTGGGCTTGGCTTGAGAGAATGAAAGAACCACCAACCCTGTAGACCCCGTTAGGACATCAGCTTCAAGTGGGCAGGGATTTTTGTTTGTCTTGTTAGCTGCTGAATTCCCTGTGCTTACAACAGCATGTGAAATAGCTAGTGGCAAATACGTATTTGTTGAAAGGCTGAATCCTCTCATTTGGAGAGGCACTAAATCAACTTTCTTCCTTTTCAAATGGCTGGACCTTCCTGCTCCCACATTCCTACTAGTCCAAAGGCCCCAAATGTAAAAGCACATGTCCTGTGGGGGATTTACCTACATGCACTCCACCTGCTACCCCACGTAGGTGTGAGACCCCAGCGTGGCCAATCGGAATCCTGAATACCCTGGGTCACGCTGACTGCTTCAGAGATGGACACATGACCCAACTGATCCAGTCAGACTCAAGTGTTTTACTTTTGTTTGAACTGTAGGAGAAGAGATTCTTTCTCTTTGCTGAACTTGAAAGTAAAAGCTGAACTTGAAGCCTGGGGTTACCAGGAGTCACACAGTGGCAATAAAGAGGAAAGCAGAGTCAAGAGATAGAGAGAATGAATCCTGGTCACCATGATTGGGCTCTTTGATCTAACCATGCCTGAATACCCACCCTATAATTTCTTGTTTTTGCTTAAGTCAGTTTGAGTTGTTTTGTCACACAGGGCTAAAGGGGCTCTGACTGATAGTTCTCGGGCCCATCTGGGTTAGACAAAAGAAACATGGGCAGGGTACCCAACATCCCCAAGAGGCTTAGTAAGTGTGAGTTCCTTTCCCTCCCCTCCCCCCCCCCCCCCCCCCGCAGTGCCCTCTTGCTGCGACAGGGATCCAGGAATAGAAGGGAGGTAGAACTTCAGCAACATTCTCAGCCATTACATAATGATATCAACAACAACTGCCTTCAGAAACCCTCTGGTTGTTCCTAAAGGAGCACCAAGGAGAATGTTTTCTGGAGCAGATCTGTGAGCTCAGACCCTCATGTCCCAGGCAGCTGGAATGGCCCCATCTCCCCACTGCAAAAGGACTTGGGGGTCATCTGACCCCACTCCCCACCCCAAGCCTCCACCTGGCTCCCTGGGAACATTGGCTCATTCTCGAAGGACAGCCAGGCTTCAAACCAGTGTCATTGCAGGGACGTTGCAGAGTCATTGCAACTGAAGAGTGACATGGCATCACTAGGACTGTGTGGCAAGAATAGCTGCCAGGAGCACTCCAGGGAGAGGTGAAGGAAGGAAAGGGCTGAGGCAAGCATCTCCCAATCTCCCGGGCAAGAGGAAGCCTGGTCTACCATATCCCTGGGGAATGGGAAGGGGGCCTCCCACAATTCCCTGCCTCTACCAGGTGAGGCAGGGAGTCTGGAGCTTAAGATACCACTCAAGCCCAGGTACCAACTGGGCACCTTGAATGAGGCCCAGCTCTGAGGACCTGCCCTCACCACCACCCCCAGTTTGACCAGTGGAAGCAAAGACAGACATGAGAAATGCACCACTCACTCCATACAAGGAACCTGTTGGGCAGATGCCACTCCACCCCTGCCCACCTACTACCTCCCAGGGCCCCTGCTGCCATCCTTTCCTTTCTATCAGGAAGCAAGGCACACACCCACACCCTCCTGTGCTTGCTTACACACACACACACACACACACACACACACACACACACACACACAATAATTGATTGCTAGTGAATGTTCCTAGCTGGCTTATAAAAAAAGGTAATTAAAGATTGGTGCTACAGCCTGTAATTAAATATGAATAAAGTATCTCTAAATGGAACCTTGATTCAAAGTGCTCAGTAGAAGTACTTTATGCTGATAGATAGTAAGGAAAAATAGACTCTGTCCCGAAAGCAGAATTATACCCCCCGTGTAGCTGACACCAACGCCACCCCTCCCGTCAGGCCCCGGCCCCCAGCCCTGTGAGCAGAAAACCATTAACAGAAACCAACTGCAACATGGCCAGCAATTAGACTCAAGCAGGGCCCTTAGCTGCCTCCAGTCACTTGCAGAAACCTGTCTCCCTTTCTAAGCGTGTCTTTCCCCTGTTCCTCTTTTTTTCCTCTGGGTCTGGGGGCAAAATCAATTAAGTAAAACAACTGCATTTTAAAATGACTAGTTATGTGCTTTTTAATTACTGTCGCCCCATGATTCAAATATATCAATGTCCCTGTCTAGAAAAGGAAAAATAATCAGGAAAAAAAGTTTCTCTAGCTTTATATGATCTGGTTTTTTTTTAGCGTGTATGTGTGTGAGAGAGCGAGAGAAAGCAGGAGGCGGTGTTTGTTTTTCTATGAGCAGAAAACATGAGAGGAGCAAGAAGAAATGTGTCACCCCCCATCGGCTCAGGTTAAGACTTCAGCAGACTGGCATCAGCTGGGGTCCAGGAAACCAAGGCCATGTGACTTTAGACCCAGGTACAGGGCAGAGAGCGAGACTCTCCAGAAAGTTAGGTCTATGAAGCCAGTTTCCTGGGAAATGTTTCCAAAATGCCACACCACTTAGCAGCCAAGCACTGGCCAGGGTCCTCATTTTACTCAAATAAGGTAACAGGAAGTCAGGATCGTCTATAAAAGCCATAATAGGACTCCCGTCGGGAGCATTGCTTATGTCTCTCTGCCAGCCAGCTTCAGGCCCCTCACCAGCCTCAGGAAGGGCAATGTCCTGGATTTTCCAAGATGGCCCAGTTTCAAATATTCCATCCTGTTGTCCCCATAGTCATGCACATCAGACCTCTTCTGGATTTACGACATCAAACTACACTGATGTAAGATAATGCCCAACAAATCTAACAAACCCAGAACTGGCTGGGTCCAGATGAAGACAGAAGCTTGTCTCAAAGCAGGCAAGTCCAGGCCTAGCTGCCAAGGCCAGGCAGTTCCCACTTAGGAGATGGGAAGACAGCCCAGGGCACCTGGAGCAGGTTACCATGGCACCAGCAGCAAACAACATCTGGCTCTCGAGATTGAGAAATGCCCCTTCTGCTCATGCCTGGCTGGGTGCCAGCAGCCATCCACTATAGTCTGATGAGGAGAGGGACAAGTCCCTGTGCTAATGGAGTAGCTGGAATGAACCTACCCCACCCCAGCCTGAAGCTGACGAGACAGCTCCAGCTACCTAGGACTCTACAAAGCACAGACTGCTTGCCTTGAGCAGAAAACCCACCATCACTTCCTATATGCTTCTGCGTGAAACCTGCCCCTTCCTCTTGGCACCGTTTCCCAGGGACCTGCCCCAGGCATCGCTCCATCTCAGCATCACTCTGCCAGCTGACATCCCACTTTGCTGCAATGCCTACTCCTCCTCCTGGTTACAAAACATGCCCAGTTTGCATCCCACCAGTTCAGGGTCATTCTTGCATCTTCTTTTTTTTTTTTTTTTTTTCATTCTTGCATCTTCTAAGTAACACCTGACACTGACAGCAAATAGGTGGCATGTGCCTTCTCATTCCCCCTGTGGTGGCTTTAATATGTCCACAGGTACTTAAATACTCTTCCCTTTGAGAGGTGCAGTCTAC